AAGCTTGTCACACCTGTCTTTGGGAATTTTTGCCCATTCCTCTTTGCAGTACCTCTCAACCTCTATCAGGTTGGATGGGAAGTGACGGTGTACAGCCATTTTCAGATCTCTCTAACATGTTTAATAAGATTTAGGTCTGGGCTCTGGCTGGGCCATCCAAGGATATTCACAAAGTTGTTGTGTAGCCACTCTATATGATATTTTGGCGGTGTGCTTTGGGTCATTGTCCTGCTGAAAGATGAACCATCGCCCCAGTATGAGGTCAAGAGCACTCTGAAGCAGGTTTTCATTAAGGATGTTACTGTACATTGCTGCATTTATCTTTCTCTTTAACCTGTCTTCCAGTTCGTGCTGCTGAAAAACATCCCCACAGCATAATGCTGCCACCACCATGCTTCACTGTAGGGATGATATTAGCCTGGTGATGAGCGGTTCCTGGTTTTCTCCAAACTTAACGCCTGACATTCACTCCAGTTCAATTTTAGTTTCATCAGACCAGATAATTTTGTTTCTTATGGTCTGAGAGTCCTTCAGATACCTTTTGGCAAATTCCGGGCGGGTAGTAGCTTCGACGTGGCTCAGACAGATTGACCAACGGGTTATTGATCACCTCCCTGACTAAGGCTCTTCTCTGAAGATCACTCAGCGTATATGGTCGGCCAGCACTAGGAACAGTCCTGGTGGTTCCAAACATCTTCCACTTACGGATGACAGGGGCCACTGTGCTCATTGGTACTTTCAGAGCAGCAAATATGTCAAGACAACATTTGACATCCTGTCTTGGATGTCTACAGACAATTCCTTTGTCTTCATGCTTAGTTTATGCTTTGACATGCACTGTCAACCCTGGAACCTAGGTGTATTCGTTTTCAAATCATGTCCAATCAACTGAATTTTCCACAGGTGAACTCCAATTAAGCTGCTGAAACATCTCAAGAATGATCAGTGGAAACAGAATGTACCTGGGTCAATTTAGAGCTTCACAGCAAAGGCTGTCAATACTTATGTACATCTGATTTTTCAGGATTTTTTTTTTAATAAATTAAAAATATATATATTTTTCACTTTGTCATTATGGAGTATTGTGTGTAGAATTTTGAGAAAACTACATTATTTGAATCCATTTTGGTATAAAGCTGTAACATAAATGATGTGGAAAAATTGAAGTGCTTTGAATACCTCCCGAATGCACTGTATATTAACATCTTCTAATAAGATATTATTGTTGGTGCAATACCAAGGACTAGAATGGAATGAAAGTAAATGTTGCACTGCTTATATACTGTATCATCTCAGATAGGGCATTAACTCGTTTTTGTCCCAATTTATTGTAAAGCTTGAAAGTTTTTTAATTCATTCTAATGTTATATGTAAATGTGCATCAAATGCTTCCAAAGGTTCAGTTTTGGTGTCTTCCTCTATATAATGAAAAAATGTCTGAGAATGTAAATAATGTGAGGACTGAAGATTTTGGGTTTTCATAAAATTTTAATCCACTTAACCAAGTGTTTAAATTTGTCAAAATGTTTTAATAAAGTTACAATAATGTGACAATTTTTTCACATGTCTTTTTGCTTTGCTGTTCACAGATTGCACGGAAGAACCTGAACCTGTTCAGGAGCAAAATGAGACAGCAGCTTCTTCTTCTCGGTCCACAACTGAGGAGCCTGCCGCTGGGCTTCCCTCCAGCCGCAGAAACCCACCGGGGGGCAAATCCTCACTAATCTTAGGTTAAAGATTTGCCTGATTTAAGGATAAGATCTGGGCCTATGCGAAACGAGCATCTCAGAGTTCATGTGCTGTTCTGTGGTCAGTGCTCATCCTCTGCGTAGCTATTTCTAAAATGACAAACTGACTCAAGTCATTCAGATCAGGACAATTTAGTGACAAGCGTGTCACAAATCTCTGAGCTTGTTCAAAGAATATCTTTGAATGTTTTAAGTGTTGCTGTCTTGGTCTTGTCTTGACTGAATGGCCTTGATAAATGAAGAGCAGATCTCGGTTATGCACTGCTACTCTTAGATTCCACAAACCATAGGCCACATTTTGCCATCACAGTTCTGCCATTCAATACATTTTGCAGTCAATGGTCAGCATTTAGTAAGTTAAGCTCCATTCATGTAAGCCTAAAAAATCTCTCCCTTATTCAGTGTCTATGTATTAAGTTTTGTCAGGACTTTATGAACCATGGCGCTAAAATTGTGGTGCTTCAGGCCTGCTGATGAACTATTCTGTATTAAATCCATCACTGCAAACATTTGTAGATGTAAGGAAAAAGAATAAACAATAATTTACTGAGTGCTGAAGACAAAAAACATAACATCTGGTTATTCAGTTCCACATTAAATCATTGCTTGTGCAAACAGGAACGTGGTTAAAAGAGCAACAACCTGAGAGTGCAATGAAATGTTCTAATCAAGAACAGGTGTGCCAGAAAAGGTGCATGTGAGCAAGCTATTGTGTTTGTTACAGAACATAAAGTAATAAAATGTGTACACGAGTACAAACAACAGCCAGTGTACAGTCATTGTTTTTTTTTTTTCAACAAGAATCTTCTTATTGCCTTGTTATTTTACACATGCCAAAAAGTATCTTTGTCTTTTTTAAATACATTATCTTTTCTCAAAATGAAATGATTAAATAAACAAATAAAACTTGTATAAAAGAAACTGTCTGTGTCGTCCTGAGAATAGATAGAAAAGTCACTGTCGTCCAGTCCAAATACCTTATTGGTATAGGTCTATTCATAAGTGTATTATATAGAGTAAGCTGTTCTGTGAAAAGGAGTGTGTTTTGAAGTAACAGCTATAACGTCATAACGAAAGTGAAAGTATGTTACTGTCACAATGTGTAAACAAAAGCCCTTAAATCTGCAGGTGGCAGCAGTGCTCTCTCTCGTTTTGAGTGTGTTATTGTGTTTTTGTCATTAAAATGTTTTATTCGTATTCTTCTCCGTCTATTATTATTATGATAACAATGTAAATCATAATGGTAGTTGATCTAGCAAACAAGGCAAAATTTGTTGTTTTTTCTTCCAACTGTTTACACACATTTTTAAAACAGGGTCACCTTTTTTCAAAACTACATACAATTCTTAAAACTGCACACACACAACGCAGAATTCCTCACATTTCCTGTATTCAAACTGCCATAAACACATGTCAGGATCAAGCATTTACACCAAATGACAAACATTTCTTTCATAATATAACACTTTTGGATATACCATGTAAACATTGTTTTTCTTAATCTAAAGCTCCTCGCTCTTTATCTATATCTACATTTTAATACAATGTTCTCCAGTGACAGTAATCTGCGGAGAGAGGGGGAACAGGTACAATGTAAACACCAATGATATGAAAAAACTGAAAATATTCATTAGGGCAAACATTACTGGTGTATACAGTAGCATACAACAAACCTATAAACATACAGTATGTAAAAAAAAAAAAAAAAAAAAAAAGTAGAAATGAGGGTAGAAAACTACAAATTGTGGATGGGTGGCAAACCATTATTATTATAATTTTTTTTGGACCAGAACAGAGATTTTAGTTTTAGTTTTGGTAAAAACTGTCCATGGCTGAGAGAAACAGCTTCTGGTTTTTGTAGCTTGGTGTAGTTTTGCATTTTGAGAGAGAGGTTTCAGCAATTGTGAGACAAGAAAAGATTTTTTGTGTAAGCAGTTAGAAAAAAACTAAAAGCAACCCAACAATGCAAAATGTTAAAATTGTAAAAATAATAATACAATAATAATAATAATAATAATTGTATACTTCTTAATTATTTGTGGCAATACGCAAATAATAAATGGGTAGCAAACCAGTTTTATTTTTTTTTTTTTTTGTACCAGAACACCTACTTGACCTATACTACAGTAAAGCAGTGATTGGTTAGTAACTAGTTAATAAATTAGTGTTTGCACATGTGAGGAGTGTGTGTGTGACCGTGTAAACAAGTGTAGCATTTTAATTGGTTGTGTTTGGAAAAGAAAAGCAAGTAGCTTCCTGTTAAATTTGTATGTTTTAGATAGAAAATTGTGTGTGGTGATCTGAAAAAAAGTGTTTGTTTTTTTAGCTATTGAAGTTCAAGGCTGAGAAATATCTTCTGGTTTTGGAGATTTTGCATTTTGAGCGAGAGGTTTCAGAAATCGTGCAATAAGAAAAGATTTTGTGTCTAAGCAGTCGAAAAAAACTCTAATGTATGCATATGCATTATTGCAATTGATCTGTTCACTGTCTGTAAAATCTAACAAATATATTTTATTTTTATTTTTTTATTAGAATTTAAATGATTGAGTAAAATAAAAAAAGAAACCAGAATAGAAACAGAATACACAATATACAGAATGTGATATGGTTACAAACGTTATATAATAATGTATCGATAGAGAACATTGTTGTATGGTCGGCAAGGCTTGACTTTTTATCATTCAGTCATCTTCTTATATTATAGGGAAGAGTGGATACCAAAGTACCATTTTTCATAAAAACACAATTTTAAAAAGATCATGATTTTAGCAGAAAACTATTTTTGCTGGGCTAAGTAACTCACAAGAGTGGTTTATCAAAACAGGTGTTATTTTGTATCAGTGCAGCTCCAATATAACTTCACTTTAAACAAAAGTTGCACATTGTTACGTTTGACCCTGTCAGAAGGGATGAAAGTAAAACAACAATATGTGTTAGATTTACTGCCTTAGTCTTAAATATGTCTGACATTTACCTTGTTAATGTTAACTGCAAACATATTTTGTCTTTTAATTTAGCAAAAAATAAAAATAAATAAATAAACAGCAGTTTCATTTTAAATTCCAGTTCCATTAAATGTTTCAAAAAATTGAAAATGTTTAAATTTTGTTACATTTTTTTAATTGAATCCAGTTACTGCAAACTCTAATGTTGATGTGAAAAACAAGGTATGAATATTAGCAGTGGGACATTCAGTTACATTCTTCCCCACAGGAACTGTTTAAACCTGATTTACTTTTAAACTGAAAGAATCAGACATTGGAAACTTAAGAATGTGTTATTGCACTAAATAACCTGCACATTGATCATTACTGTGACACATGAAAAGTTGTAAGGAAAAAAAGACCAGTTACTTTCTGCACTTAAATCTGGAATTGGGAACTAACTGCAGGACACGCTTCTGAAATCACATGATAATTAGCAGTTTCATCGAGGGTTGCATGCAGAATTTGCTGTTATAGCCTGGAAAGCAGATGTTGTCAGGGCTTTGAGAAAATCGATTTGTTACTTAAGTCTCACGTTTTGTCCCCGCTCTCCCCCAATTTTTTTTTTTTTTTTTTTGGATTAACTGATGCTCATTAGACACTTCTAGAATTGACTATTTGCTCAATGTTTTGCATGGCATTGTCCTGGGACATCTGAAATATACTTGGCAGGTATGGAAATAAAAACCAATATATAAATGATATGCAAATGGCTCATTTATTTTTTTAAGTATCCTTTATAAAATATAATAGGGCTACATGTATAGCTACAATGTAAAAAGGCATACTGGCCGCAGTAGAAGAGTGTAGGCCCACAGGCTACAATTTTCTATAAGTTATTGTAAGTTATTTACAGTTGAATCAAAATTCATAGCTTCAATGAAAACGAAAAGCAGTAACAAATGTGTTTTTCGACAATCGTATAGTAGCCAGTTGGAGGCTTTAGTCAGGCTGGCTGCTGTGCTTGTAGTCAACAACACTTAATATATCCTGTCTTCGTTTTGTCTATTTTGCAATGCGTTTTGTTGCATTTCTGTTTTCTATTTCTAGAATGTTTAAGAGCTTGTCCTTAAAGCCATTTCCTCTTTCACTATTGTGCATATCTTTCCACAAAGTTATAGTCTGAACTCATTTTGTGTAGTAATTTTAAAAACAAACATTTAGCCTGTAAATAATTGCTAAATCAGTGGACAAAATTCATTATAATTGTAGGATAAAGATCGAAATAGTATTTTTATCATTACTAGTGATAGCCAGATTTTAAATTAACAGGAAACGAATGGTTGACTTACAACATGACATCTAATCTACATGTACATATTTTCTATGAATCTACTTTCTGAAGAACACTTCCTTAAAAACACTTTAAAGAGTTTAAAAAGGAGCTAGTTTTGTATTGGTCTGAACCAGAAATGCAGACAGTCTGGAAATGTTAATCCACAAGTGTTTATAGAACAGCTTAACACATTATTTGCCTGTAAAATGTTAATAATGTTGTAGAATATATGAAAAAAGAAAATTAATTTAAAAAAATTATATATAAATAAATATACAGTTGAAGTCAGAATTATAACTTTTTTTTTCTTTTTTAAATATTTTCCAAATGATGTTTAAAAGAGCAAGGACATTTTCATAGTATGTCTGATCATATATTTCTACTGGAGAAAGTCTTCTTTGTTTTATTTCGGCTAGAATAAAAGCAGATAAAAGCAAAATTTAAACACTATTTTAAGGTCAAAATTATTAGCCCATTCAAGCTATATATTTTTTTTCGATAGTTAACAGAATAAACCATCATTATACAATAACTTGTCTAATTACCATATCCTGCATAGTTAACCTAATTCACCTAGTTAAGCCTTTAAATGTCACGGTATTAAAGGCATTAAAATACTAAAATTATCGTTTAAACTGCAAATTAATTCATTAAAGTGAATTAAGTATGTGATGAAACTACATAAGCTTTTATTTCAAATCATAACAGCTTTTTTTAATGCCCTACTTTTAATATTTGACACACGATCATATTTGTTTAAGCCTGAAAAATAACCTTTGATCTGTAGAAATTTTCAGTAATTATAACTCATTATTTCAAACAATCCTCTTAACATTTTAAATATACTTATCATATATTTAGCTAATTTATTATATTTTTATGGTCAGCCTTCGTAAAGCCAAAAATTGTTTTAATTTTTCCCACAATGTAGACAAAACATGAAACACACAAAGACAAGAAGGCTCATCATTCTTTGCTGTTTTCTCTTGCTTCATGTCAGGACTTGTCATGATTTATGATACAAGAGAACAGCAACAGCCTGAGAAGTAAACACTATCAGCAAAGAACATTGCAATGAGGAATCTCACCTTTAAGTAGAAAAAGCTTTTGAATAAAGATAAATAAGAAAGGTGTGGCATATTACATTTTGTTCAGATTTTTTTTAATTACATGCAACTATTACATTATGAGTTGCTACAAATGTAAGTTGTCATAAATTGTAATAAATTGAGGCCAAATACTAATTTTCAGCCAAGGCTAATGAACTATTGGGATGAATCAAGCATGAAAAGGGAACATCCACTCTCACTGGGCCACTTTATTAGGCACACCTTACTAGTAACTAGTTAGGCACAGTTACTAGTAAGAACTTCAGAACTGACTTAATCATTCCTGGCTTAGATTCAACAATGTAATGGAAATATTCCTCAGAGATCGCGCAGTGGCTGCAGATTTGTCGACTGCACATCCAGGATGCGAATCCCCACACCCCAAATGTGCTC